CACCCATATTAGATGAGCTTCCATAGCCCTGCAAGAGAAAGAGGAGAGCAAGCAAGATGCCTTGCCTTCAAATTCTTTCAATGAGATAAGTAATCTAAGAATACAAGTAAAGTCTGTCTGCAGAAGTAATTAAAGTCCTACTTTAAAACTATACCCAATGCAAATAAGAACCTATACCTTACACTAAAAACTGTATTACTGACATAAAATAATTACTGACAGATAACTAAACCAAGTTGTATGTGCTCAACTCCCCCTGTGAAGAGTTTGTTTCACTGTCTGGCTGTTCTTACAGAGAACAAATAGCTCTATACATACCCATGTAGTCATTTAATCCATGTACATGCTCCTCCCTCATACACCTGTAGTGCAGTCCATAACTACCATTCATTCAAACAGGTGATCAGCATATGAGGAATTTAATGAACCAGCCTTTTTCAATCCCCACTTATACGTAACCTGATGCATCAGTCCCAGTTCAGTCAAGCAAAGCTACATTTTGGGAGGCTCAGCCTCTGGACACTACCCTTGCCCAGTACAAAGAAGAATCAATGCATTAAGTTTATGAGAGAAGACAGACCTTTGTTTAATACATTTGTTGGGTTTTATTTAAGGAAAAATATAACCTGAGGAGAAAGAAGCAGCATCTTGGAAGAGAACATACACAGAAACATTTGGAGAACAAACTACAGGAATCCTTCCTCCCTCTATCTGACTTTTAGGCAAGAAAGTTATCTAAAGTAGTGAGGGAAATTAGGAACTATCTTGTCCTCCAAGCCTGTGACAAAAGCAGCTTTTGCCTCTGTGTAGACACATTTCATCAACTCAAGAGTAGAGGACTTCCCAATTTTACCATGGAGCAGGCAGTTACCAGTAGTACATTCAATATTGTTATAGAAACTATTTCTGCACTACTGCAAATGAAAGGACAAAAGCAAGCTTTCCCAGTTTTCAGGGGGAATAATAGGTAGCACTGTTGTTGTAGCAGAAGCTGAGTGACAAATGACTTAAAAGTACTTCATTGTGAGATAAGCATAAAGCTGCACTCAAAAAAAATGACAACAGACTCCTGATGATGCATCTGTCAGCTAAGACAGCTGGGGAGTTTATAAAGCACCATCTTGCATAAGCCAAATCATTTCAGCAGTACTGCAGGAATATGCAAGAAAAAAAGATTTAACATACTATTTAAGAATAAACATTTCTTGCAGGAGTCCATATGCGCGTAACACATGCAGATCTCGTTAGGTTTTAGTTCATGAGGCACTTAATCCATGCAGTTGACAAGGACTCTTCCTGACCTAAACTCCTGAGTTTGGATAGTACTTCACCAAATCACAGGATTCAGAGCTTTCCAGCTCCACCATCACCACAATCTTTTGTACAGTATAGCCACACCTAATTATTTTCTCAGTGGGTCACATTAACTAAGCACTAATTAACTGGGCTACTATAACCAAGGACTTCAGTCTGGCTTTCAATCTGTAGTTTTCTTGTCTCTTCTCTGGTGTCTATAAAAGATAAGCTACGAAGCTATTTACTGTAGTAATTCACATATGTTATAAAACAATCCAAATGAGCAAGTTTCTAGAAAAGCCCATACGTCCACTGGCAAACTGACAGACATCTAAAGGGTTATTTTATCTGCCATCTGCAGTAGGACCTCTATATGCAAACTGCAGAGCCTAGAACAAGAAGCTGCCCTGAAACAAAATTCTGGAGAATGATCAGGAACTGCAGGATAATTAATTTTCTTATATTACCAGATTTTGAAAATTCACTTGATATTTATACGAATAAAACACATTTCATTTTGAAAAAAGACAATACAACAGTTTCACAGAGCGAAGTCAAAGGGCTAAGAAGACTTTTTTCCCCTTAAAATATTTTACAGTTGCTGCTACAAGTAGTATACCAACTTTTTTTTAATTAAAAGCTTCACAGACATTTGAGAAATCAGCATACTCTTAAATAGTCTGCTTTAACAAGTCACAAGTGGCACAGAAGCATTTAGGACAGAGAACAGGAAGTTTAACAGATAAGCCGAGTGCCAAAAATATGTCTAATCAACACAGAAGTGACAACCAACCTTTTAACTATTAAAGACAGACTTGTAGCACGAGGTGTTCATTCACAATCAAATACAGTGGTAAACTGCTATCAAATAAGACTTAATTGAAGCCTGTAACAGACTGGCATAAACAGATAGGCAAGACCAGCATCACTCCTGAATCAGTAACATAATAAACCTGTAAGAGAATTATGTATTATTTAGTGCTGCAGACATTGTAGGTACAAATGCCCAAGAAATAAAACTTAATGTAAGAAGATCAGACATTTCCAAAGGTAGGCAGTCAAAATCTATATAAGTAACCCCCGAAGTTTAGGTTACTCTATTAACTTGAAATCTGGGCACAGTCAGCACACAACAACTGCATTTTCATTTTTCAGCAACACCTAGAATGTAGAATCCTTATCTGTGCAAAATCTTTCAGAAAAAAAACAACTACACTATGTTTCACCATTATTCATAATCTGGAAGGGCTACTGGTAAACTCAAAATGTCAGGCCTTACAGCAGTATTACAAAGACACATGAAAAAGCCAAAATTCAGACTGAAATTAAGAATGCCAGCAGGAATTTTGCACATCACTGCAACTGTCAGATATTTAGTCCAATTTTAAGGCTAGAAACAGAGGTCAAGAGCTGACTTGGTGTCTAGCTTCCCTCCCACGTCAGAAAAGAAACACTTTCTTTGCCTTACAAATGAAAAGATTCCTTTCACCTAAACGGCAGTTAATTTTTGTTCTTGACAACATCTAGCTCCTTACTGAAGAGGGAAAGAGGGAGCTTCAGCCAACACCAGTGCCTGCAAAGCACAGTCTCTAGAGAATACTCTCAAGTATTTTTGTGAATCTTAGTCAGTGTTGCCATTAGACAACTACTAGGAAGTTTCATAGATCACCTACTAGTGGGAACTGTGAGCTCTTCTGCAGCTATTTGGAAAGTGTAGTTACTTTCTTCATTATGAAGATGAGAAAGATACACAAGTAATTACAATTACTATTCTCCCAAATAGCTGTCTGGACAGTAAAAAAACATTTGAGAATACCAGTATTTGTTTAAATAGTGATAGTGTTAACATTATATTTGTTTCACAAGTAAGTTACATCTGCTCCTGCAGATACTGAGAGCATGAGAGGTTTGTTGTCCCTTCTGGACAGAGAGGTAGTTTCAGCACTGTTCCCACACTGCCTATGCACTAGCAAACTTGAGGGGAAACTAGTAGTTAATCTGTTATATCCTACAACCTTAAATTTTGTTATTCCACATTTCCAAACACAGGTTACAAACCCAGGAGCTTGAATGCTTCTCTTGTATTTCTCTCTACTGAACTCCACTGCAAACAAGAGTGCACAAATGCATTAACCAACTGCAAGACACAAGACACCCAAGAATAAAGTCATGCTACTTCTAGCTAAATGAATGAAAACAATGATTACAAAATAGCAGGTACATACAACAGCAAGTCCTAAAGGCCATGACACCAAGTGAAACTATGTTACACATTGCACTGAACACCAGGACACTGGGAAATTTTCAGTAAACAGCCAGGCCAACCAGACAAAGCACAAGAGCATTCGCGTAACCTTGAACCGATATACATCTTATAAGCCACCTTCTACACATACAAGAGTGAAGTCTAAAGAAACCTAAGGACCTGCAACTCTGGTCTTAAAAAAAGTCAACTACTGAGACAGTTTCTGCTATAAGGAAAATTATCGACCTTGAATTTTGCATACAGAATCCAGATTTACATGGCTAGAAGTCCACATCACCTGACTTTAGTTTAAGGAAGCTCTGCATTTAAATGGTCTCATTTTACCAGTATAATTTTTCCTCAGCTTTTTTTTTGCATTAGAAATCATCAATATGAAGAGCTTTCCAAGCCACTATGGTTATACCAATACAAGACCAGCTAGGTCATTATAATTCACATTAAAAAATTCTCCAAATCCGTTTTCATCTGTTAGAGAGGGGATCTTATTGTCATTGCTTTTAAAATAGCCTCAAGTGATCTACAGACACACGGGTGGACAAAATAGAGCTGTTTCATCACACCAACCACAGCGACCTTAGCCCTTCCCCAGGCAATTCCTGCCACATCATACACTTAAATCTCTAACTCCGATTAATATTAAACCATCACATGCAATTCTCGGACAGAAAGGAAGGCTGAGCACTGGGCTATGCCCTCAGACATACACCTTGCCCCCCACACCAAGCAGCAGCAGATTTGTGCTCCTCATCTCTGCAGCACGCACTCACGGACATGCTCCTCCCGCTTCCCTCAGGGGAACACAACCGCACTCCTCTCCATCCCATGTTTAATTACACTGATCCCAAGTGCTGATCTTCCGTCAAAGCAGAATCTTAAAGCCAATTTAAGCCAAGCCTAGGCACAACGCACTGAGGGCCCTGTTCTCAGGCGCCTACGAAGGCCTGTTTTCCATCAGTGACGTGATGAGCCGAAAGCCGCTCAGGGATTTGGAAGGAGCCCAGGGACGCCTCTCCCTGCCCCGCCACACACCCACCGCGCCCCGGCACCGCTCCGGCATCACGAACAAGGGCGGCACCGACCACCGGCACCCCCTGCGCCGGGGCGGCCACCGCGACACCCGAGGGCGAAGGGGGGTGACCGAGGTGGTCAGGGACGCAGGGAAGCACTGCAACCCACCCACCCAAAACCGCACAAACCCACGGCCAAACGCCTTACGCTACCCCCCCCTCCCCGCCGCGCCGCCCCCCCGAGCGCGTCGCCATTTCGTGAGGCAGGAGCGCTCCGAGCTGCCCGCTGCGGGGACCAGGGGGAAGCTCCGGGCTGGGGATCGAGAGGTGAAGCCCCGGCCCCACGGGGCAACAGCCCACGGCGACGCCCGGCCCAGTCTGGCCTGGCCCAGCCCAGCCCAGGCCCCGGCCCCGGCCCCGGCGCCACTCACAATTGCGGATATCGGAGATGAAGACCGCCAGGCCTCGCATGCCATCGCCCTTCGACACCGCAGGCATGGTGGCGCTGGATCACGGCCGCCCAGGGACGCGACACGCCGAAACCCCACAGCCGCCGCCCGCTTTCCCCGCGGGCTCCTCAGGCCGCTCCGCCGCCGCCGCCGCCTCCGCAGCGCGCAGGCGCCGCCGAGGCTCCCGCGCCCCCGCAGCCGCCGGGCGGGCGGCGCTCGGGCGCCCCCTGCCGCGCGGAGGCGGGAACGCCGCGGGCCGCGCCGGGCCCCGCTGCTTCCCTGCGCTGCAGCCCCGCCGGGCGCGGCCCCGCCCGGCCCCCGGGATGGCCCCGGGGTGTCCTGCGGCTCCCGGCCATCCCCCGTGCAACCCTGCGGGCCCTGGAGCTCGGCGGTGTCGCTGCTGGGACGCGATTACCAAGTCACCGCACACCGGGGCAAATGGGCCCGGGTCGAGGCGAGGGGCGGCAGGACGGCGTCAGCCGCTAGGTCCGTGTGGGAACCCACTGCGTGCTCCGGGCTCGGGAACAGCCTGATCCCTTCCGCTCCCCGTGCCCCTAACGGTCGAAAAGTTTGATCATTTTTGAAGGTGAAATATCGAGCTTCACAGTTGCCTCAGAGGATGTAAGAGCTGAGGGGAAGGAGAGGGACGGCAGATCAGGAGACAGGAAAATTTCGCTAAGCTTTGAGCAGGCTGTTAATCTGCGATCTTATTATTGCAAAAATATGGAGAGCAAGGTACAAACTCTGAATGGTGCCATCCGTAAGAACATGCTTTCCACAAGGTGGACCCTGGGAGGCCACGCCTTGGTCCTGCTGCTCCACAGGGACCCAAAACCGTACATGGGATCTGTTTCATGTACCCTGCATGGTCTCTCTGAACACTGACCAGCCCAGGAGCTACTGTGTGCAGCTCCATCCTTAGTCACATAGCCCTTGTGAGGCTGCCATCAATAGCATGAGTGGTGTGGCTGCTCTGTGTTACACAGCAATGTACACCCGCTGGCTCCCTGGGCCCGCAGACTGCAAACCCAGGGCCACGTGTTTCTCCTGAAGGCTGCGAACATGCAGAGCAACACAGTCCCACGCTACATTTGCTCCTGAGACTGAAAACATTTCAAGGTTAAACTGTCTTAAACATGCCGAAGAGGTAGGACTGCGCAGAGCATTTAATCACATCAGCCAAAAATAGATTCAAATGGTGTTAAAACTGACCTAGTCTGCCTACCCAAAAGTATGGTCAGAGCTTCAGCTGTAACAGAAGTGATTAGTATGCTTAGTGGAAAATAATGGGGTTTAGGGCTACTGGAGACCCAGCAGCCATTTCACCTCTTTTCCAGTGTACTTCAAGCCATTTCATTTCACCTGTTCTTCCCCACACACACCCCTCTAATTGAACCCAATATCTAGCTGTTAGCTACAGTCTATCTTCCAGAAAGGCACTTAGTCTTGCTGGCACAATCAAACTCGCTGTTTCCCTGGATAGTTTGTTTCCATGGTTAATCCTTGTTTAAGAGCTTGCATCTTGTTTAGACTCATCAAGCTCCAGTGCCTTTAAGTTAGTGATACGTTTTTCTGTCATAGAGAAAGAACTACATAATACCTGATACCTCTCTGGTAGTGGCTGTTCCTCAGTTAGGTCACCTCGCAAGTGTCTGTTCTGCATGTTTTCAGGATCCCTTGTTACAGGAGTGTTTTTTAGGTGTGTGTCTATTAGAAAGACAAGATGACAGCATGTGGTAGTCATGCAGATATCCCTTTGTCCCTGGATCCATTTTGTAGACCAAGTGCAAGTACAGGCAGTCATGCACAACTAGTCTATTATTCTGTACAGATTCTCTGTAGGCTTACATGAAGAAAGCTTTCCTTTTTTACATCTTTACAAGTAGATTTTTATGCTTATATATAGTTTCCCTATACCTTTAAACATCAAAACCTCATATGTCACTATATGAAGTTTTTTTCTGTAATCAGAAAAAAAAATCTTTTTTGAGGTATCCAAAATGTTGAACTAACCTACTCTTAAGAGCACAGTGACACCTAAAGGCTAGCCTATCAGTCCTGTCTGGCTGTGTTCCAATCAATACTGCAACTGCAAGTCATGCAGGTACATACACTTCAGCTGCCTTCTCAGTGGTGGCTTAAATACTGACAGTGAATAGCTGTGGCAGTACCAAGCTAAGTATGAACTGCAAACGATTCTTGAGGACGGGGCAAATAGTCACGTGGTTAACACATATGGATATCTCTAATTTTGTAACTATACAGCTAAATGTTTCATTTGAAGGAGCTCAGTGTGCAGTACACATACCCTGATTATTTTATATCAATATCCTTTGACTGACTTTTGAGGCTTCACTATATTCATCCTTGCTCCCTGTCTTTTTGCCTCAACAATGGCTTATGCAATTAGGACAAATGTGTAGCCATATGTCCGCCCTTATTGTGTCATAACGGAGAACTTATCAGTCTATTTCAGATAGTTTTGGTAGGGACAAGATGCAAGTTTTATGTGAATAAGTAGATAGCTAGAGGCAAGAGAGCCTGTAATGGTCTCTAGATGCGTCCTGATTGAAAGAAACATTGTCATGTGAGCTCAGCTGTTACCCAGCTCAGAGTTCACACTAGGAACAGCCTTCTGCAAACACATCGAGTTTGTTATTCTGAAAAACATTTTGGCTTGAGTCTAACATGTATAAAACACCAGTCTGTGTAAAAACAGATGTTTCACCCATCTGACAATGCTGTAATTTTTAAAGAGATTTGTAATTAATGTAAAATCAGCATTAAAGAGGAAATAGTGTTAAGAAACATTTTCCTATTACACAAAATGTTTTGTATCACATCTGTATGCCACAAATCCACAATGTCTGTCCCTTCTTTTCCATTTCACATGGAAGTTGCTTTATTAACTTTTCAGAATTTCACTGCACTTTGGTACAAAGACTTGAATAATGCACTGACCTTCATAAAACTATTACTACTCAACTGAATGTATCCAGTTGTGGGAACTACAAAAAATGAATTGTTCCTTTTCCTTTGTTACTTCTGTCAGATTTGTACCATCAGTTATTGTTTTCTTCTGCTCCTCATGATCATTCCAGCCATTACTGGCAGCAAAAAGAACTAAGTAGAAAACAGAATCGGTGGCTCCTCCATGTGTACACTCAGTCCTGTTTCTGCACTTGACATCTAACATTCATTATCCATTAACAGAGAGCACAATGCCTTCTGCCATGCCAGAGTATCAGATGTGCTGCTTTCAACATTAAAATCCACAAAGTTAGGATAATACCATTATCATGAAACTCAAAATTTCCAGAAATTTTGGATGGATCTGGTTCACTGGCTAGACTTTTGTTCAGAGGAATAATATTTTTTTTTCAGTGCTAAAGAATGTTCATGAAGATCTTCGTTACACAGGAAGGAACAAAAGAAGAGGGTGTAGCAGCAGACTAAGGTAACCTTTCAGTTCAGCTTCTAGGAGGTCTCATCAAGAAAGAAAGCAGGCCACAGGAAGGTCTCTTTTGGGAAGCACACTGCCAGGATATGCTGGGCATGACTGCATCATGACATAACACATCCTTTTATTATCAAGTCTTTTGATATGGTATTTAGTTCCTGCAAGCAGCCTGTGAAATAACAGGGTTACAACAAAACTTGGGCTGCAGTAAAAATAGCAGTAGCACAACCATATTGCATGCAAAAACACAAACTGTAGAAGGTCAAAACAGGAGAAAATAAAAATCTCAATTTAAAACATAATCTTTTATTTTTGAACCTGTTAAGAGCCATCTGGGATTTGGCTCCTCCTCTCTGCACACCAAGAGTTAGCAGTATTGCTTGCAGACTCTCTGCAGCCTTGTCTATACCATCATTTTGCCTCCAGGCCAGTGTGTGTATTTTAGCCAAGCTCCCGATTTACCTACACTATTTCACAGATTCACAGAAACAATTAGGTTGGAAAAGACCTCTGAGATCATCGAGTCCAACCTATGGCCTAACACTACCATGTCAATTTGACCATGGCATTAAGTGTCACAGCCAGTCTTTCCTTGAACACCTCCAGGAACAGTGACTCTACCAGCTCCCTGGGCAGCCCATTCCAATATCTAATCATCCTTTCTGTGAAGAGATTCCTCCTAATGTCCAGTTTCAATCTGGTGCAGCTTGAGGCTGTCCCCTCTTGTCCTGTCATTTGGTTGCCTGGGAGAAGAGGCCGCCCCCCGCCTGGCTACAGCCTCCTGTCAGGTAGTTGTAGAGAGAGAGAAGGTCGCCTCAGCCTCCTCTTCTCCAGGCTAAACCTGGAGCTGTAGCTATTTACTACAGCTTGTGCTAAACCAGGAGGCTCTTCACGGGAATTCACTGTTAGATCGTGACTAGTATTTGCTTTCTTGGGGTACTGATGACCCCCAAAGCGACCGCACCCCTGCACGAGACGGGACAGCCCAGCAGGCGGCTCTGCCCCAGGGGCTCGGTCGGGATATGGCGTCGCTCCCGCGGCTCCCGGCCCGCCCGGAGCGCCAGCCTGGAGCCACAGCGGGCGCCGCTCGCTCAGCCCGCCCCGCCATGTTGGCGCGGCCCCGAGCCGGCGGGGCGGTGCCGCCCGCCCGCACTTCCGCGGCGGCGGCGGGCGGTACGTGGTGTCCGCGGGCCGGGCGGGCAGGGCCGGGCGGCGCGGCCGTGCTCCGGCGGCGTGGGGGCCCTCGGCATTGCGGCAGCCGGCTGGGGGGAGACACGGCACCGGGGGCGGCCAGCGCAGCCCCACCGGGTCTGAGCTCGGGGGAGGCCGCGGCGGGGCCGGCGCTGCCATAGCGGGCGTGCAGCTGCCGGGGGAGCTTTGGTGTCTCAAGATTCAGACGAGTGGGGGAGACAATTCTGACCGTCAAAGTAGAGCTATCTTACAAGAGGAAAGGGTTTAATGTTTGCACAGGTTAGAAACGGATTTATCCTCGCTCTTCACTCCCCGCTATAGCTTTTATTGATTTCATTTAAAAACGCATCATCAGCGTGCCTCCTGGTCTTTCCTTACTAAGTGATGCAGGCTCCTTCTGCAGCTGTAATAAGAATCTAATACAATACAGTGCCAGCCTCCAAGATTATTTAGTTTCTTTGGTTGCTTATTTTGGACAGCCTAAATCTATGG